AAATGTATATTTTTATAGACGAAAAAAATTTTTTATTCTTAATTCAAAAAATTTTTTATTTTTCTTTCGCCAGGACCCCAACGGCTCGCAAATTTATACACAATTTTTTTAATTTTTAAAAATTTTCAAAATTTGCAAAAAAAATTTTTTGAACCCGGGCCCCCCCCCCCCCCCCCCCCAAGGTCTGGATCCGCCACTGGTGACTTTCCTTTATCCGATTTGTACAATTTAAATTATTCCTTTGTCGACCGTCCCCCTACCTAACCAACATCCATCTAGAAACTAGTGATGTGATTGCTTTTTTTTTTTAATTCAATGATGATCAGGTAACGAGGTACCAGAGTGACCCTGGACAGGCCACTGCTTATATGATTGGACAATTGGAAATAAAAAAGAGCAGAAAATATGCCACTGATGAACTGGACGAAAACTTTAGTCTGCGAGATTTCCATTATCAGGTAAATTATATGCGCTTTCATATTTGAAAAAACAACTTCCGAGACAATGCCACACTGAACTAGCCTGAAATTCATCCGATTACTTCGAGTCATTTTCTCCTCTCCTCTCTTGTCTCTCTTACTGAGGGAGTAATAACGACTCGAAGTAATCGGATGAAATTCAGGCTAATACTGAACTATTTTTACGTTAGACGATAGGAGAACGCAGTTCATAATCTTGGGCGTCCTGTACTAATAAACGATGATATTTTTCGTCCTTCTATGACTTTTTTGCACTATTTTGTGTCACGCGACACAGATATTGGTAGCCAACAAAGCTGTCGCGTGACCTTAGAGTTTTGGGTTTTTGTCATCTGAACCCTCTTTTTATTAGAGTAAGTATTTTTTTAAATTTTTCTTACGAGCTTTTGAAGGATCTTACTCGCTTTCATGATATAATTCAAGGACATCTATCTGGCCACCATGACACAAAGATATCCAGCAAAAACGCAAACTCAAATCTTGACCCAAATCTTGACTCTGCGATTACTACTAGTATAATGTTGTTTTTTAACGTGCGTGGTCTCTAAAAGCAATAAGTAAGTCTCACTCAGCATTTAACTATTCATTTCCTTTTGTTTCCAGGTTCTTGCACAGGGTTCCTCTCCTCTAGCTTACCTGTCAGATCACGTGAGAAGGTATGTGGCCTGTGTCCAAGACAAAGCCAAAGAAGGCTGTGATGTCATCTTGAACCCTCCAAAGAAAACCACCACAAAGAAACAAAAAGAAACAGATCGTTGGCCACTGATACCTAAAGAAAGGGAACATTACATTTAAATATTAGGGGATAGTGAAATACCTCTTTTTTTTCCGCTTTTGCAGCTTATAATAAGTTCCAATGTTAACTGTACAAAAAGGAATTTTAATTTAGAGGTGGTTAAATGTTTATCCGTAGCTTTAATTATGGAGGCATGTAATGTAAACGTAACTTTTGAGTCTGGACAAAATTTAATGACGTGCTTTGACCATTTAATTAAACCCTCAGCTAGTGGTAGTTCTGCATCCGGGTGCTATAAGTGAAGTTTATCAAAATACCTCAATAAGGACAGTGTCGGCCAAGAGGGTCCCAATAAACCATTATACCCGACATAATGTACACAACATACCTCAATATACGATCTCCATATATCTATACGCCTTAAGGAAACTAAGTATACCCGAAATGATTTGTTTTCAGGAGATAGATAACGCATACCTCAAAACGCTGGCGGACCCTGTCTGTGTTAAGGAATTTTTTGTTTGTTTGTTCATTTGTTTGTTTGTTTTTCGGCAGTAGTCGTTAAATGTTATCAATAGAGCCTTTTTCAGCAGCGGTAATCAGGGGCCTAGCCAGGATTTCTCCATCCAGCTTGCCGCTCTCTATGCGCCTTTTTTTCACCTACTCTCTAAATATGTCAGTCTACTAATGAATCACTCGTCACTTCTCTGGAAATTGAAATTTGGGTGTCAAAAAGGAAAAGTGCGTTGTTGTAGAAAAAACTATTTCAAAGAAACAAGCAGAGTTAAACTGATAAAGATTAAGGAAATCTACGTTTTTAATTTTATTTCCTTTCTTCAGATAATTTCCTTTTTGGTATTATATTTCTCAGTTTTATCCTCGGCAGTTTTTCAGCTACGCACGTGCGTAGCGTGCGTATAGGTACCTTCTCCCCAAGCTTATTAGTGTCTTGTTACCAAGTGAACTGACTGTTGCAAACTGTTTATTACAAACAGTTTGCAACAGGATTGGATCCTAGCTTCGCTGAGGTGTATAAAATAAAGAAGAGTTCTGTTTGTGCACGCAATTTGTCTAAACTTCGGTGTGATGGGACCGCTGATGCTACAAAATAGCCCCCGCACAACCCACGAATTCCTCTAAAAGAAACTTTTTTTGGCCATAAAGTAAATCCAAGCTTAGGTTTGGTCAAAATGACCGGGAAATTTGGCTTCGTTAGGCTTTTTAGTTTTGTGTGTGAACTTCTTTATTCATCTTGGTCTCATGCACCAGCTGGCCAATAACCGGCACCAAGAGAGGATAAAGCTCAGCCAATGAATCGCCCATATAGGCCCTACACCCATGGTAATCCCTCTAAAGATATTTTTAGATTTTCTCTGAGATCTGTTGTTTTCAAGAGGGTTGAGTGATAGCCAATCATATGTCCTTAATTTTACCAATGTTGACAGGTGGGCAAAGGCCTAAGCAATGCTTCGCGACGTTCACGAATCAATTGTTATGTTGGCGGAAGACGTAGGTTGGGTTAAGAAGACTCGAAACGAGTCGCGTGTACACGTTGTGTGGACGAATGCGACTTCGGGGAAGTGAGTGTAGTAAGTGCTTTAAGACTTATGAAAGAAAAAGCACAGTCGCATATAATTAATTAATAACGAACATTAACAAACGGCTTGGAAACTAAAATTTCGAGGACGTTTTTGGACTTTTTACATTTAGGGCATGAATTTTCGTCATTTCAGGCCTTGGAACCTAAAAATGAGCCTAGCTAGCTGTAAAAAGGGGCAATACGGAGGCAATACGTCCTAGCCGGCATGATCACATGCTGTTTACGGAAAATTCCCTCATCCATGTCAGGAAATTCTGTATTTTAAAGCCCCCCTTGGGCATGACTCAGCAATTGAGGACATTTCTGCTACGTTTTCAATGTTGGTTAGCATGCAAGGATTTTTCCCATGTCTATCGCCAATGATTTGCTCACTGGTAATAGAGGGGGTGGCCCCAGAGTGGTTTTGCATTGAAATTGGCATGCAACAGAATTTCGCATGCCCTGTAAGCATAATTTGAGGTTCTGTGACCTTCTCACCCAGGCCGCGAGAAGCCTAGGTTCTAGTAATAAGTAATTCATACCCAGCAAAATCTCCGGCATGCCGGGCATG